CAAGCTTTATGATTTGTCAAAGTTTAGGGATATTTTAGGTTAAAAAAATTGAATATAAGGAAATTAATTTTAATTATTTTCTTTTTGTTTTTATTACTTTTTCAGAATCGGTTTATGTGGTTTTGATAATCCCATGCGAGATCAAAAAACTGAAGAATTAAAAAAACATATTGGCCAGGTGAGTAAACGTACATATGTATATGACTTGTTATCTTTCACACGCTGCCACAAAGATACACTCATACGTTTAGTATTATTAATATAATTAATTAATTTTTACAAATAAACAAACAAAAAATCCAAAACACTCAGATTAACAACAAAAGAACAAGCCATTAACAACGATAGCAAAAAAGTTAACAAATTAAAATCCATTAATAACTATCAAATAAATTATTAAGAAAAAAAATAAATAAACAAAAAATATTGTCATGTCATAATACAAAGAAGTAATAACACCCACCCAATCTTAAGAATTGGTAGCGTACTCATGATAATGACCAGTTGTTTGGATGGATCCATGGTAACACGAGTAATAAATATTGTTTAAAGTTTTATAATAAAATAAATCATAATTTTGATTTCGCCAAATTAGTCAAATTAATCATTAAACATAGAAGAACATAAGAAAAGGCTTAAGAACATAAAATTTGCTTAAAGAAGAGTATTATGAGATAAATTTTTAATATCTGTTGACGCCACCTCTAATACTCAAATTTTTACATATTTTTAACTTATAACATTTAAAAGACATTTGTCATAAAAAAAGTCATATGTAAATTCATCGTTCTTACTGTGTGAAAAAAAAACTTTAAATTTCGCAATAAATTATTCAATTTAATAAATCGCCTTAAATATTTTACTTTTTTTGTTCATTTCAAGGAAATGCAATTTTCAGTTTTAATCGTATAAAAGTTTTATGCACATTAAAACTTAAGAAAATTTAAAAATGTTTTAATAAATAAAGACATGATTAAGTAATTAATATTAAAAAGTGCTTAAAAGTTTAAACTGTTAAAAATGCTTTAAATATGTTTCGTATTTGTTAACAGAACTCCAGGGGAAATAACAAGGTGTGAAAATTTTATTAATAGGGTCTTAATTCAGAGGAGAAGATTGGTCATTTGTAACTTATGTGCAGCAGAAGTTACAATTGTGTAAGATTTAATTATGGCTGGAATATAAGAGATCTTTTGTTGTTAACTCAAGGGTCTGAGCTTACGCTTTGGGTTGTATAAATCAACTTTTGAATAATCGAACGAACAATCGACTTTGTGTCGAAAAAGGTCGAAAAGTCGAAGTCGACTATTTTGTTGCAAAAAAGGCGATAACTCAACTATCGTCTATGATAAAAGGTCGAAAAGTCAACTTTGTAAATAAAAGTATAAAGAGTCGAAAAGTCGACTTTTCATAATCGTAAAAGTCAACTTTTTGTTTCATTTACAGAACCCTACTTACTTACTTACTCACCTCACTCACTACTTACTTACTTACTTACTTACTTACTTACTTACTTACTTACTTACTTACTTACTTACTTACTTACTTACTTACTTAATTACTTACTTACTTACTTACTTACTTACTTACTTACTTACTTACCTTACTTACTTACCTTACTTACTTACTTACTTACTTACTTACTTACTTACTTACTTACTTACTTACTTACTTACTTACTTACTTACTTACTTACTTACTTACTTACTTACTTACTTACTTACTTACTTACTTACTTACTTACTTACTTACTTACTACTTACTTACTTACTTACTTACTTACTTACTTACTTACTTACTTACTTACTTACTTACTTACTTACTTACTTACTTACTTACTTACTTACTTACTTACTTACTTACTTACTTACTTACTTACTTACTTACTTACTTACTTACTTACTTACTTACTTACTTACTTACTTACTTACTTACTTACTTACTTACTTACTTACTTACTTACTTACTTACTTACTTACTTACTTACTTACTTACTTACTTACTTACTTACTTACTTACTTACTTACTTACTTACTTACTTACTTACTTACTTACTTACTTACTTACTTACTTACTTACTTACTTACTTACTTACTTACTTACTTACTTACTTACTTACTTACTTACTTACTTACTTACTTACTTACTTACTTACTTACTTACTTACTTACTTACTTCTACTTACTTACTTACTTACTTACTTACTTACTTACTTACTTCTACTTACTTACTTACTTACTTACTTACTTACTTACTTACTTACTTACTTACTTACTTACTTACTTACTTACTTACCTTACTTCTATACTTACTTCTATACTTACTTCTATACTTACTTCTATACTTACTTCTATACTTACTTCTATACTTACTTCTATACTTACTTCTATCTTACTTCTATACTTACTTCTATACTTACTTCTATACTTACTTCTATACTTACTTCTATACTTACTTCTATACTTACTTCTATACTTCTTCTATACTTACTTCTACTTACTTCTATACTTACTTCTATACTTACTTCTATACTTACTTCTATACTTACTTCTATACTTACTTCTATACTTACTTCTATACTTACTTCTATACTTACTTCTATACTTACTTCTATACTTACTTCTATACTTACTTCTATACTTGACTTCTATAATTACTTCTATACCTTACTTCTATACTTACTTCTATACTTACTGCTATACTTACTTCTATACTTACTTCTATACTTACTTCTTATACTTAACTTCTATAAACTTAACTTCTAATACTTACTTCTATATTACTTCTATACTTACTTCTATAACTTACTTCTATACTTAACTTCTATACTTACTTCTATACTTACTCCTATACTACTTCTATACTTACTTACTATAACTTACTTCTATACTTACTTCGATAACTTACTTCTATACTTACTTCTATACTTACTTCTATACTTACTTCTTAGACTTACTTCTATACTTACTTCTAATACTTACCGTCTATACTTACTTCTATAACTTACTTCCTTACTACTTACTTCTACTACTTACTTCTACTATTTACTTCTACTATTTACTTCTACTACTTACTTCCACTACTTACTTCTATTACTTACTTCTACTACTTACTTCTATTATATAATTCTATTACTTCTATTACTTTTATTACTTAATAATTATTTTTATTTTGTCTACTTTTTAGGGCGTTAAAATAAAAATGGACGATGCTGGTAACATATTGATAAGACGTTATGCCAAAAGTAATGTTTATGTTAAAAGTACCGCCAGCAATCAAAATGAGGAAACGTCTATAGGTGCCGATATCTTGAAACTACCAAATCAGGCATTAGAAAGTGAAAAAATAGTCAAAGTAAGTAAAAAACAATTCTTAATTAATTAATTAATTTCACACAACAATTTCATTGAATAATGTTCAATTTATCTCTATAATCTGTTCACTTTCAGTTATTTGATATGAAAAAATTTCAATCAAATGTTAATCGCGAACTGCGACGAGCCTATCCAGATCGTCGTCGTTTGGAAACACAATGTTTGTCAGCGGTAGCTTTTGTTAAATCCGAAAGTGACATATTAGAATGTCCCATATGGGTATTGATTGTAAATGTTGTTGCAATGGATATGCTTAAATCTAAATTGCCACCAGGTAAGTGAACAACAACTATGAATAATTCTAAAAAAAAAAACAATAGAAAAATAAAACAAAATTTACACTCTAGCTGAAAACTATAAAGGCAATATTATTCTAATGCTTTTAAAAGTAACTACAGCATAAGCATAAAAACTTTTATACTTTTGCCACTGACTGTAAGGTAATGACAGCCTATGAAGCATGTAATTGTTTGTTTGTTGTGATTTGTGATAATGTTTGTTTTGTGTTGCATTGAATTTGTTGCACAAAGAACATTATCATGTATACAAATATGTAAAATAGATTTTCATTTTTTTCTTTATTTTGAATTAAGCTTTAGTTTGATTTGTTTGGGGTTTTTCTTCATCTTCTTTTGTAAAACAATGAAAAACAAGTACAAGGTTGAGTTTAAACATATTGCTGTTGAAGATGCTATCAATTAGAAACAACTACAGCAACAATAACAACAACAACAGAAAACATTGAATATACATAAATTTTCTATCATATAGAAAAATGATGAATTTGTTGAATTGATTGTTTAAGAAATTGAAAATTTGAACATAAATTTTGAATGGAAATTTATTTACGATTATTATGCAAAATATGAATAGAATCAACTATAGACAACTTTGTACAAGACTAGTCTATAGACTAGACTATATATTAAGACTATTGAGTAGAATATAGACCAGACTAGATTATAAACTAGACAAAAGAATAGACTATATACTAAGCTAGACTATAGGCTAGACTAGACTATAGACTAGATTATAGTCTAGACTATATACTAGACTATAGGCTAGACTAGACTATAGGCTAGACTATAGGCTAGACAATAGACTAGGCTAGACAATAGACTAGACTATAGACTAGACTATAGACTAGACTATAGACTAGACTATAGACTAGACTATAGACTAGACTATAGACTAGACTATAGACTAGACTATAGACTAGACTATAGACTAGACTATAGACTAGACTATAGACTAGACTATAGACTAGACTATAGACTAGACTATAGACTAGACTATAGACTAGACTATAGACTAGACTATAGACTAGACTATAGACTAGACTATAGACTAGACTATAGACTAGACTATAGACTAGACTATAGACTAGACTATAGACTAGACTATAGACTAGACTATAGACTAGACTATAGACTAGACTATAGACTAGACTATAGACTAGACTATAGACTAGACTATAGACTAGACTATAGACTAGACTATAGACTAGACTATAGACTAGACTATAGACTAGACTATAGACTAGACTATAGACTAGACTATAGACTAGACTATAGACTAGACTATAGACTAGACTATAGACTAGTCTATAGACTAGACTATAGACTAGACTATAGACTAGACTATAGACTAGTCTATAGACTAGACTATAGACTAGACTATAGACTAGACTATAGACTAGACTATAGACTAGACTAGACTAGACTATAGACTAGACTATAGACTAGACTATAGACTGGACTATAGACTAGACTATAGACTAGACTATAGACTAAACTATAGACTAGACTATAGACTAGACTATAGACTAGACTATAGACTAGAATATAGACTAGAATATAGACTAGACTATAGACTAGACTATAGACTAGACTATAGACTAGACTATAGACTAGATTATAGACTAGACTATAGACTAGACTATAGACTCGAATATAGACTAGACTATAGTATAGACTATAGACTAGACTATAGACTAGACTATAGACTAGACTATAGTATAGACTATAGACTAGACTATAGACTAGACTATAGACTAGACTATAGACTAGACTATAGACGCGACTATAAGCTAGACTATGGTCTATACTGTAGACCAGACTATAGACTACATTATAGATAGGTGTAGACTGTAAATCATAGTATAGACATAACTATAGACTAGACTATAGACTAGACTATAGACTAGAATATAGACTAGACTATAGACATGACTATCAGCTAGACTATTATCTAGACTGTAGACCATAATATAGATCACTGACTAGCTTTACACTTTATGTGCAACATGTTCAGATCATCTTTAAATATTGAATTATAAAGCATAACTTTAAGTCGTTTTTCTTTACTATTCCAAAGCTTTCATTTTCAAATGTCATTTTATATTTGAACATGAATTGTAACATTTTTTGGCTTTGAATTAAAACCGCCAATTGTTGTGTCAATAGTAAAAAAACGAAACACAAACACACAAAAAGAATCCTACAATATTATAATGTAAAAAAATGAATAGTGTTATAGAAAAACACCGAACACAAAATTTGCATTTTTTGAAAAGCGAACAACAACACAAATAAAATAGACTTAGAGCTAGTGCAATCATATTTCCATGAATAATTGAGAACAATAATAAAAAGAAAAATACGCAGAAAAAAACGTAAAATGGTAACGAAATTGTTAAACGCACAATCAAATTTATTTTGTATTTTCAAACTAACAAACAAACAATAAAGCAGCAACAAAATGTTATTGATTTATTTTTAAATATGCTTTTTATAATGCACACATACTCATACATTGTTTATTTAACATCTCGCATTTTTACTTTTGACATTCTAGTGCAACGTCCTATTGTCGATATTAAAAATCGTCCTAGAATACCAATACCAGATGAGGATCCCTACAGTGTTGCAGGTAATGGTAGTGGCGGTAGTTCGGGTAGCTCTGGTTTTGGTGCTAGTGCAATGAGTAGTATGATGTCTTTGCAACAGCAGCAACAACTTTTACAGCAACAATCACAAAGTATGACAAGTAATAATGGCAGCAACAATAATACAGGAGTTGGCATCACTACAAATGGCAGCAGCAGTACACTGCAACATTTAAATAATGGCATGGTAGCCGGCATGAATGGTAGTGGTCATGTTGCTGCCACCAGAGAACAATTGATAATGCAATCACAACAATTGGCTCATAAACGCAGTGAGAAACCACCAAAATTGCCACCAAGAGATAATATATATGGACATGATATACCTAAGGTAAATGTGAGAATTATTATGCAAATTTTTTCTAGCAAATTTTTTCTAGACTAGACTAAAGACTAGGCTATAGACTAGTCAATAGACTAGACTAAAGACTAGGCTATAGACTAGCCCATAGACTAGACCATATACTAAACAAGAATAGACTAGACTATCGACTAGACTATAGACTAGACTATAGACTAGACTATCGACTAGACTATAGACTAGACTATAGACTAGACTATAGACTAGACTATAGACTAGACTATAGACTAGACTATAGACTAGACTATAGAATAGACTATAGACTAGACTATAGACTAGACTATAGACTAGACTATAGACTAGACTATAGATTAGACTATAGATTAGACTATAGACTAGACTATAGATTAGACTATAGACTAGACTATAGACTAGACTATAGACTAGACTAGACTAGACTATAGACTAGACTTAGACTAGACTATAGACTAGACTATAGACTAGACTATAGACTAGACTATAGACTAGACTAGACTAGACTATAGACTAGACTATAGACTAGACTATAGACTAGACTATAGACTAGACTATAGACTAGACTATAGACTAGACTATAGACTAGACTATAGACTAGACTATAGACTAGACTATAGACTAGACTATAGACTAGACTATAGACTAGACTGTAGACTAGACTATAGACTAGACTATAGACTAGACTATAGACTAGACTATAGACTAGACTATAGACTAGACTATAGACTAGACTATAGACTAGACTATAGACTAGACTATAGACTAGACTATAGACTAGACTATAGACTAGACTATAGACTACACTATAGACTAGAATTTAGACTACACTAGAGACTAGAATATATATTAGGCTAGACTAAAGAAAAAAGTATAGAGTGACTATAGACTAGACTATATACTAGACTATAGAATAGACTAAAGACTAGACTATTGTATAGAATAAAGACTAAACTATAGACTAGACTGTATACTAGACTATATAGTGGAGTGACTTTAGACTAGACTAAAGACAAGGCTATAATCTAGATGTACCATTCTAGAAAAAAGTCTCTGCCCTTCTATTGTAAACTGAGATAAAGATTTCAGAAAACATTTGACATCCACATTTTTACACTTAAATATTACAACATTATTTTTATATTAAACTATCAGATGTTTAAACAAAATAATACAATTGTATAATAATAATTGGAATTTCTTGCCAATAGCAAAATAATAACAATAATCGTATCAAAAAACAACAAAAACACTTGTTTCAAAAACTCGCGTAAAGTCGCTGAAAACTACACAAAAAAAAAACAAAATAAATGAAAAGAATTGTTAAGAAGGAAAAAAAAATAACAAGAAACACAATAATTTAAAACTATGTAAGTAATAAAACTTTAAGCTTCATTGAGCAATTCAATTGGCAAACTGATGGAATAGTATTATATTGTATCTAAAGCCTTTTGTGTTATACATTATGGCATTTTTTCTTTATTTTTCTTCTATTACAACTGCAAAATATAATATTTAGCAAGAGACGGCAAAGTACTACTCCATCATGCAATTATAACTAAAAAAAAGTTATCAAACACTATAATTTTTTCTATATAATATTGGGGTGTTTACCCACTGCTTTTTGTATTGGTGGGGGTTAAATTAGTAACTCAAAAAAATATATAAAAAATCATAACTTGGTCATGTTAAATCGCGTGTAATTAATATGCAAAGAATGTTGCTGTTGCCAGTGTTTCTTGTTATTTTGTTTTTGTTTTATTTCTTCTACTCTGGTGTATATCTGTTACTTTAAAATTGCAATTGTTTGTTTATTTGTGTAATTTTTCAAAATAATAAAAAAATATTGTTATACAAACATATTTGTTGTAATGAAATTGTAATATGATTTCAATAGAAATAAATAATAGAAAAATAACAACAATTTGAACAAGTTCGTTGCTTAAGTCTTTTGTGTTATGTATTTAACAAAGATTCATATGATACTTTAACTACTAGGTGTGTTTTTAAGTATTAAATAATAGAATTTGCTAAACCTTCTTCTGAAAACTACTACCAATTTAAATATTTTCTTTTGCTTGTAATTATTTTGAAATTTTAAAGTGACCTATGGGCAGTTCTTTACCGATCGTTACATAATTAAGCAAACAGATTATATTTACAAACAACTTTAGGTTTCATTCAAAGTAGAATATAGTCTAAACTATAAACTAGACTATATAGTAGGCTATAGACTAGACAATAGACTAGAATGTAGACTTAACATAGACTAGACTATAGACTAGACTATAGACTAGACTATAGACTAGACTATAGACTAGACTATAGACTAGACTGTAGACTAGACTATAGACTAGACTATAGACTAGACTATAGACTAGACTATAGACTAGACTATAGACTACTATAGACTATACTAGACTAAGACTATAGACTAGACTATAGACTAGACTATAGACTAGACTATAGACTAGACTATAGACTAGACTATAGACTAGACTATAGACTAGACTATAGACTAGACTATAGACTAGACTATAGACTAGACTATAGACTAGACTATAGACTAGACTATAGACTAGACTATAGACTAGACTATAGACTAGACTATAGACTAGACTATAGACTAGACTATAGACTAGACTATAGACTAGACTATAGACTAGACTATAGACTAGACTATAGACTAGACTATAGACTAGACTATAGACTAGACTATAGACTAGACTACAGACTATATACTAGACTATAGACTAGACTATAGACTAGACTATAGACTAGACTACAGACTAGACTACTAGACTAGACTTAATAGACTAGACTAGACTATAGACTAGACTATAGACTAGACTATAGACTAGACTATAGACTAGACTATAGACTAGACTATAGACTAGACTATAGACTAGACTATAGACTAGACTATAGACTAGACTATAGACTGACTATAGACTAGACTATAGACTAGACTATACTAGACTATATACTAGACTATAGACTAGACTATAGACTACTCTATAGACTAGACTATAGACTAGACTGTAGACTAGACTGTAGACTAGACTGTAGACTAACCTATAGACTAGACTATAGACTAGACTATAGACTAGACTATAGACTAGACTATAGACTAGACTATAGACTAGACTATATGCTAGACTATATACTAGACTATATACTAGACTATAGACTAGACTATAGACTAGACTATAGACTAGACTATAGACTGGACTATAGACTAGACTATAGACTACACTATAGACTAGACTGTAGACTAACCTATAGTCTAGACCATAGACTAGACTATAGACTAGACTATAGACTAGACTATAGACTAGACTATAGACTAGACTATAGACTAGACTATAGACTAGACTATAGACTAGACTATAGACTAGACTATAGACTAGACTATTGACTAGACTAGACTAGACTATTGACTAGACTAGACTATAGACTAGACTATAGACTAGACTATAGACTAGACTATAGACTAGACTATAGACTAGACTATAGACTAGACTATAGACTAGACTATAGACTAGACTATAGACTAGACTATAGACTAGACTATAGACTAGACTATAGACTAGACTATAGACTAGACTATAGACTAGACTATAGACTAGACTATAGACTAGACTATAGACTAGACTATAGACTAGACTATAGACTAGACTATAGACTGGACTATAGACTAGACTATAGACTAGACTATAGACTAGACTATAGACTAGACTATAGACTAGACTATAGACTAGACTATAGACTAGACTATAGACTAGACTATAGACTAGACTATAGACTAGACTATAGACTAGACTATAGACTAGACTATAGACTAGACTATAGACTAGACTATAGACTAGACTATAGACTAGACTATAGACTAGACTATAGACTAGACTATAGACTAGACTATAGACTAGACTATAGACTAGACTATAGACTAGACTATAGACTAGACTATAGACTAGACTATAGACTAGACTATAGACTAGACTAGATAGACTAGACTATAGACTAGACTATAGACTAGACTATAGACTAGACTATAGACTAGACTATAGACTAGACTATAGACTAGACTATAGACTAGACTATAGACTAGACTATAGACTAGACTATAGACTAGACTATAGGCTAGACTATAGACTAGACTATAGACTAGACTATAGACTAGACTATAGACTAGACTATAGACTAGACTATAGACTAGACTATAGACTAGACTATAGACTAGACTATAGACTAGACTATAGACTAGACTGTAGACTAACCTATAGACTAGACTATAGACTAGACTATAGACTAGACTATAGACTGGACTATAGACTAGACTATAGACTAGACTATTGACTGGACTATAGACTAGACTATAGACTAGACTATAGACTAGACTATAGACTAATCCAGCCTTTTATAATGCATGAACTAAATTTTTGCACATTTACTACTTCTTGACTGTTAACCCCAATTAATTATTTATTTAAAAAGTCTTATAAATTAAAAATTATTTGAACTAATTTTCAGTTTCCCATAGTATTTATACCCACTTTCAAATGTACTCGTACCTTTCAAATTTGTTTATACATTGTTTTTAAGCAACTTTAAACAAATGTTTTTCCTGTAATTTATTTTAATGTTTTATTTTGCTTTTTCTACATTTAACAGCCCGACTATGATGACATCGAATTGGATACACGTATTAAATTGTCACGTGGTAAATCGGATAAAGGCAAAGACAATAAAAAATATGGTAAGTTTGTTTCAGGTTTAAAAGCCAAACCCAAAACTAAAGGAAAAGTTAAAATTGGCAAAAACGGATATGAAAAACTTAATATAGTATTGCAAAGAGAGGTGTTTTTTAAGAAGCTGTTGTATGTATATTGATCATACAAACTTGCATTAAGCAATTCTGTCTGTCTGTCTCTCTTTAATAAGTTTTACCGCCAACATTTCAAAATTTTTGCATTTTTAGTTGAAAATTTATGAGGACACTGTTGCCATATGTTGTACATTAAAGCATGTCTTGTGTTTTTACTGATATAAGATGAATGTAGAAAAACAAAACGTATAAAAAAACTATATAAATAAAGACAAAAATGGGCAAGACAATATTTGCAATTTTGACTAGTATTTTATGGAAAACAAAAAACTAAAAGAAAATGTGGTAAATTTTAAATTTTGTTCATGTAATTTATATCTCTTTGACCATTAATAGTTCAACACAGAGGCCAAACGTAACAAAATATGAATGGTTTGGTAATATAATACGACGAAGTAGATTTGTGTATAGAATGTTGGTGTATATAGAGGGAGTGATTGTATTTTGCTGCAGTCAGTCACTTTATAAGTGAATGGCATTGATGGCGGTGGCATAATAATAGACAAATCAATATTTCGAGAAAAAAAGTTTTGAAATAAAAATAAGAAACATGAACATTCTATATTTATTTTGAGATCAGTTTTTTTTGAAAACGATACATTTACATACATACATATGTACATTCATTGATTTTAAAATATCAAGCAATTCAGTTGTTATTAGTGGTGACTAGTGAAGAATGACGACATAGTTTTTGCTGCAAATAATAGTTTATATAACTCTAGTTTGCAGTTAAATTTAAAAGTATTAATTACAACAAAAATATATTCAAATTTTCGAACATAACTTAAAATTTTCTAATATTTGTTATTAATAAACTTTCCGTTAATTCCAGATGATCCCTACTATTGTGGTCTACGTGCACGTGTACCAAACTTTGTGAAAACATCCTCAAAGGCGGCTAAAGAACAGCCAGCACTACAGAATGGCGCAGCAACTCAACAACAACAGCATATGAATACATTAACCAACCAAAAGAAGACTTCGGTAATGATGCCCATGCATCCCACAATGCATGCACCACAACCGCCCCATATGCATCCCCAACATATACAGCAACAACAAATGATGGCAGCCGTAGCAGCACATGCTGCAGCTCAGCAACAACAGCATCATCCCATGCATCATCATCAACAACAAATGTGGCAAACACGCAGTTATGAAAGCGGCATAGGTATTTATAAACATAATGCTACAACGACTACAACGACAGCTGCCAGTACAGCGACTGCGACTACGAACTTTAATACAGACTTGCAACAACAATTGCAACATCACCAGCAACAGCAACAACAACATTTACAGCAACAACAACAACAATTACAGTTACAGCAATTACAAACGGCTTCAAATAATTATTATCCTAGCACTCATAATGCTAGTAGTTCTCTTTATAACTATCTTGCACCCAATTACCATCACCAAGAGCACCTTCTTCATCAACAGTCACAATTACAACTACAACAACAACAACAACAGCAACTTGTCAATAATTCTTCTCCTTCTACAGCTTCTTCTTCTACTCTAACTACTAATCCTCTTTCTAATGCTAGCAATATTATGCCTACTACGCCTTCCTCCTTACCAATTGGTCACTTGACTAATACCACAAATGCCATTGCACCATCAACTTCAATACAATTAAGCACTAATTTGACATTTGCCACCAGTCCCCCCACCATTAAACAAACTGAAACTAATCATGAAAATATATACGGACAGACTAGAAATCTTAATTCCCATCATAATCCACCACCTCTTAAAGGTGGACATCATCATTCTCATCATCGTCATCAACACTCACATCATTCTCATCAACATCAGCATCGACGTTCACATCATCATGGTTCTTATGGCTGTCAAATGCATTCTGCACATCCTTCTGCCCGTTCTACACCGGGTGAATTTCGTTTTAAAACTCATGAACCTTTCTATGATGATTACGATCACAGACATTCTAAGGCATATCGACCTTCTCGTAGATCCTCTTCTAACACCTCTCAAATCGATGGCAATTGTAATTGCGTCAGTTGTTATACTTTAGCTCCGCTTTTTGGGGCACCCACACCCAAAAGACCGCCCCGAAGTTTAAGCCAACAACAGCTGCGGCAGCATCAACGTTTGAGTGGTGCCAAGAATCTGTATAAAAACGAATTAAAGCGCGGTGTTGTTAAGTGGTGCAGTGACAGTGATGTTTCCCTGCTGGGTCGTGAGGAACAGGAACAGAGTGAGGCTTCAGATGACTATAGGGCTTATGCAAATCGTAAAGCTTTCCATGATGATTCCTTTAATTATGACGATTTTAATTTAGATCAAGATTTTGATATAGAAAACTTTACTTTAACACAATTGGACTATAAAAAACAAATACAAAAACCCAAGACTCAAAAATTTAATGGTTATGCCGCCAGACATAGTAAATATCCCACAACCAATGACCCGCAGCAGCAACTCTTAACGGATGGCTATGTGGATAAGGCCCGTTTAAGGCAAATCAGATCACCCACACCTCAGCGTAAAGAATCGTTTAAGTCCCAAGAGGTTAAATTGCGAAATCCCTTAAATAAAGCCTCCACGAATCTGCTAGCCATGCGCCATAAATCACAAAGTACTGAAAGTTTTTTTGAACAGCCACACGATGAAGGCACTATTTATTTATATGGTGGACGTAAACGTATAGTTAAAGCTCCTTCTACTACCAATCTCTATGATCGTATTAAAAAGCAAGCAGGATCGGAGTTAACGCCTAAACAAATTAAGAAATATAATTCCCAATTAAATTTACCAACTGAACAGCGTAAAATATCAACAAAAAACCCTACTAAAAACGATCATGACACTTTGAAACCCTTAATACCACCTCCGCTCTGGAGGGGAGCTAAAAGAATGAATCTAAAGGCTAGTCCTCAACTCAATAATTATCAAATTTTAGATCATAATAACAACAATATTAACACTAACAGACAAGACTCTAAAATATGCAATCTGCAAAGATCGGAAGAAACAAACAAGACTAATAATATGAATCAAAACAATAAGACCACGACTACACAGTACAATACTAAATTATTAAACCACTATAATGCCGATAACAAACCTAATACTAATGAAAATGAAGCGGTCCAACAACATCAACAACAAAAACATATGGAACCACAACAACAACAGCAGCAAACACCATATCGTATGGCTCGCTCCTCTAGTCGCGTTGATGTTAGTGACATGGAATCGATTTATGGTTATTTAAAACCCCGTAAACCCCGCAGTTTAAGCATGAAGAAAATTCAAATACTTGATTATTAATTCTCTATAACTGGTCCGTTTCTATTCATGCAAACTGTTTACACTAGGAGGTTTGATTTGATTTTTGTTTTCTGTACCAAATGAAGGTTTTGTTTTGTTAATTATTTCGTAGTAGTTGGAGGTGTTTAATTTTTTAAAAAATAGTTTTTTCAAAACTATTTCTTTTTTAAATATCTGCTGTAAATATTTTCTTAAAGCTTTTATATCCTTATATTTACCCTGATTTTTTTTTTTTTACCCAATTTACTTAAGACCCTTGGTACGGTTTAAACAAATTTCGTTCATTTTTTCCGGGAACGGTTTTTTTGCACTAACTTTTTTTTACACTTTTTATCATAATTTTATTTTACTATATTGAGTTAAGAATATGACAAAGATGGAAAAATTGGAACAAATTTGGAACTTTGGTTGATGGAAGTTTATAATGTTTATTTCTTTATTACAGCTGGTTTGGAATAGTGGTCCCTTAGGGGGGGAATAACAAAATTTAATCATGTTTAAAAATATCTGAAATTTTACTAGTATTTGGGTCCAAGAAAAAGAAAATTGTTCTAAAATAGAAGTTTTACTTCGGAATATATAAAATAATATAAAAGGCCCTCTATGAGGAAGCACAAAGAAAATACTAGAATAAATCAATTTACACTATATTGAGCCAATTAAAGGCACTTCAAAAATCGGAAATTTGATAGATTTAAACTTCCTTCTATAAAAGCTGCTAAAGGAATGAATTCTCTTCTACCATTTTACTAAATCATAATAATTGTATTTACGGCAGTTTTTCTACATTAACACCGATCTTTGGTGCCTCTACACCCAAAGGAACGCCCAGAAGTTTAAGTCAACTACAGATTAGACAACATCTAAGTTTGAGTGGAGCAAGAATCTGAACAATAACGAATTAAAGCGAAGTGTTTTAAAGTGCTGGTATCAACATTTCCCTGCTGAACTGAGATTAACCAATTACAAGTCTAGACATCGATGATTAGTCAAGTCACCGATAACTATAGATTATATAGAAATCGAAACCACATTTACAACACTAGAAAGAGGTGGCAGTAGCAAGGTGTCTTCTTTAGATAGTTTTCTAATAGAAAAATTTCTTTTTTGACAGTTATCTTATAGGAAAGTATTCTTATTTAGAGATTTTTCTTATAGAAAAGTTTCTTTATTAGATAGTTTTCCAATTGGGAAGTGTATTCTGTGGACAGTTTTCTTAAAGAAAAGTTTCTTCATAAAAAGTTTTCTTATAGAAAAGTGACTTCTGTAGAGAGTTTTAAAATAGAAAAAAGGTCTCTTTTAGACAGTTTTCTTATAGAAAAGTGTACTCTTTAGACAGTTTTCTTCTAGAAGTGTGTCTTCTATAGACAGTTTCCTTATAGAAAGATGTCTTCTTGTTTCCTTATAGAAAAAGTGTCTTATTTAAACCGTTTTCCGATAGAAAAGTTTATTCTTTAGATAAATTTTCAATTGAAAAGTGTATTCTTTAAAGAAAGGAGACTTCTTTAGAAAGTTTCTAATAGAACAGTCTATTCTTTAAGCAGTTTTCTTATTGAAAGGTGTCTTCTTTAGACAGTTTTCTTTTAAAGAGTGTCTCCTGTAGACAACTTTCTTAAAGAAAGGTGTCTGCTTTAGATAGTTTCCTTATAGAAAAGCGTATTTTTTAAACAGTTTTCTTATAGAAAAGTATATTCTTTAGACAGTTTCCCTATAGAAAGGTGTCTTATTTGGCAGTTTTCTAATAGAAAAAGGTCTCCTTTAGACAGTTTTCTTATAGAAGAGTGTCTTCTGTAGACAGTTTTCATATAGAAAGGTGTCTTCTTTAGATAGTTTCCTTAAAAAAGTAAGTTTTTTAATCAGTTTTCTTATAGAAAAGTGTCTTCTGTAGGCAGTTTTCTTTTAGAAAAGCGATTTATGTATCTAGTTTTCTAATAGACCAGTGTCTTCTTTAGACAGTTTTCTTATAGAAAAGTGTTTTCTTTAGAAAGTTTTCTTAGAGAAGAGTGTCTTCTTTCTTATTCTTACAGAAAAGTGTCTTTTTTAAACAGTTTTGTTATAGAAAATGTCTTTTTAAAACAGTTTTCTTAAAGAAAATTGTATTCTTTAAGCAGTTTTCTTTGAGAAAAGTCACTTCTATAGACAGTTTTCTTGTAGAAATGTATCTTCTTTATACAGTTTTCTAATAGAAAAGTATATCCCTTAGACACTTTTCTTATAGAAAAGTTTATTTTTAGTCAGTTTTCTAATAGAAAAGTGACTTCCTTATACAATTTTCTAATAGAATAGTATCTCCTTTAGACAATTTTCCTATAGAAAAGTTTCCTAATACACAGTTTTTTTAATAGAAAACGATCTTCTTTATACAGTTTTCTCATAAAAAAGTGCCTTGCAACCGTTTTCTTGTAGAGAGGTATCTTCTTTAGAAAGTTTCTTCTTTGAACAACTTTCTTTTAGAAATATATCTTCTTTATACAATTTCCTAATAGAAAAGTATATCCCTTAGACAATTTTCTTATAGAAAAGTTTGTTTTTAGTCAGTTTTCTAATAGAAAAGTTACTTCCTTATACGGTTTTCTTATAGAATAGCATCTTCTTTAAATAGTTTTCTAATAGAATAGTGTCTCCTTTAGACAATTTTGCTATAGAAATGTATCCTAATACAGAGTTTTTTAATAGAAAACGATCTTCTTTATACAGTTTTCTCATAAAAAAAGTGCCTTGCAACCGTTTTCTTGTAGAGAGGTATCTTCTTTAGAAAATTTCTTCTTTGAACAACTTTCTTTTAGAAATATATCTTCTTTATACAATTTCCTAATAGAAAAGTATATCCCTTAGACACTTTTCTTATAGAAAAGTTTATTTTTAGTCAGTTTTCTAATAGAAAAGTTACTTCCTTATACGGTTTTCTTATAGAATAGCATCTTTAAATAGTTTTCTAATAGAATAGTGTCTCATTTAGACAATTTTCCTATAGAAAAGTTTCCTAATACACAGTTATTTTAATAGAAAACGATCTTCTTTATACAGTTTTCTCATAAAAAAGTGCCTTGCAACCGTTTTCTTGTAGAGAGGTATCTTCTTTAGAAAGTTTCTTCTTTGAACAACTTTCTTTTAGAAATATATCTTCTTTATACAATTTCCTAATAGAAAAGTATATCCCTTAGATAATTTTCTTATAGAAAAGATTGTTTTTAATCAGTTTTCTAATAGAAAAGTTACTTCCTTATACGGTTTTCTTATAGAATAGCATCTTTAAATAGTTTTCTAATAGAATAGTGTCTTCTTTAGACAATTTTCCTATAGAATTAGGACACTTTTTTACAGAGTTTTTTAATAGAAAACGATCATTTTTATACACCTTTCTCATAAAAATTTGCCTTGCAGCCGTTTTCTTGTGGAGAGGTATCTTCTTTAGAAAGTTTCTTCTTTGAACAGATTTTTAGACAGAAGTCTCTTCTGTTGGAGAGTTGGACAAGCCTGTAATGATATTCTTTAACTTGTTCTGAAAGAAAATTCTATAAAAATATGCAATAACCCATTTGTATATATTGCGTTTTTTAGCATTTATTAACGATTAAACTCCCTTCATCCAATGTTCTTTGTAAATAAATCATATATTTTTTTTTAATTATTTAGTAAAACAAAACTATTGTCATATTCTTAAATTGTAATTATTGGACATATTTGGACGTTTTTATATATATTTTTTTTATTAATAAACTGAAATTTGTTAATCTGAACACACTTTAATTTAAATAAATATTAAAATGTTTAACTTTTTATCACTTTAGATGCAGATATTGTAGAGTCACCTTATAATCATATTTATGGACGTTTACCTTTGCCAACACGAGGTTATATACCAACTCCACGTAGCATGTATATTGGTGAATGGGATTGATAAAATAAATTTTGATATAAGGAGCAAAAAAAAATTGCGCAAAACACAAAAGAATGGATGCAACAAGAAGTGAAGTGAAGTGAAAGAAAAATATAATTTTATTAGTTTTAAATTAAATTAAAAATAAAAAAAAATCATTTATAATATATATATTTTTGCTATTTGTAAAAGAAAATATATATGTATGTATTTGCAAGAGATTATTATTTTTTTCTATATATTTTATAATAAAAAAAATAAAATTTATAAATGAAATAAAACTTTTAATTAATAAATTAATATAAAACGCCATTAATTTTATAATCATCATTATTTCAATGTATAAAATTTCATAACTTTAAATAAATACATAATAAAAAAAACCAACAACAATTAAGTTATAATAAATTTAAATTATAAGTTATAAACTATATAAAAATGCAAAAAAAAGTCATTTTTAATTAACAAAAAAAACTAAAAATTATTTTTTAAAAATTTTATTTTGTTTTGTTTTCACAGACATTTAGATTTGAAATTATTTCCCTTTTTCCTTTACATATGGGATTTTAGGTTTAGAATTAATTAGATTTTTTTCTATTGTAAAATTATATAAATATTTCTTATAATTTGCAATTACGCATAATAATTAATTTTTGTTTTAAACCTATATACTGCCACAAGTTTTTATGTCACATTTTATTTTATTTTTTTATTTAGTTAATTCTTTTTTTTCTTTATATAATTTTATAAATTAGTAATTATACCTATAATCTATTTTATTAATTTGTTTTACAGAAATTTTTTAAATTCAAAATTATTTGAATTAAAATATCTTTATGTATTTTATTTTTTTAAATTATAAGTTTATCATAATATCTAATCAAGACAACGTTTTTACTTTTTTAAATTGTAAAAACTTTAGTTATAAATTAAACACATTTATGTATAGACATTTTTGCAAGCGAATAAAATCTATTATTAAAACTTTTATAAAATGAAAAATACTCGTATAAATAAAAATTATTTTATATTCAAATAAAATAAAAATATGGTGATTTTTTTTATAAAAATTGAGTTTAAGAAACTTCTTTAAAGAAGAAAGTTTTCTTTTAGAAAACAGTATAAAGTAGAATTTCTATAAGAAATATTTTTAAGGAAAAAAATTTTCTATTAAGACACTTTTTTATAATAAAACTATCTGGACAGAATTTTTCTACTATAATAAATGAACTTTCTATAAAAAGAGTCTAGAGAAAACATTTTATATGACAGAATACTATTAAAAAGATCTAAGAAAACAGTCTATAGAGGGCACTAGGTTATAGACAATATAGACTAAAGACTACACTATAGATTAGTCTATAGAAAAGTCTATATATAGACTAGCCTATAGGTTAGACTATAAAGTTAGAATATAGACCATACTGTAGAATAGAATATAGACCAGACTATGGACTAGACTATATACCTGACTATAGATTATACTATAGACTAGATTACACACTAGACTGCAGAGTAGGCTATAGACTAGAATATAGACTCAACTATAAACTAGACTTTAGAGGAGACTATAAACTAGCCTATAGATTAGACTAATCTATAGACTATAATATAGACTTGACTATGTACTAGACTATATACATGAGTATAGACTAGACTATAGAATATACTATAGACTAGACTATACACTAGACTATAGACTATAATATAGACCAGACTATAAACTAGACTATAGTCTTGACTTTAGACTAGACTATAGTCTAGACTGTAGACTAGACTGTAGACTAGACTATAGTCTAGACTTTAGACTAGACTATAGACTAGACTATAGACCAGACTATAAACCAGACTATATACTAGACGATATACTAGAATATAAACTAGACTATATTAGACTATAGACTGGAATATAGACTAGAATATAGACTAGACTATAGACTAAAATATAGACTAGACTATAGACTATATACCTGACTATAGATTAGACTATAGATTATACTATAGACTAGATTACACACTAGACTGCAGAGTAGGCTATAGACTAGAATATAGACTAAACTATAGACTAGAATATAGACTCAACTATAAACTAGACTTTAGAGGAGACTATAAACTAGCCTATAGATTAGACTAATCTATAGCCTATAATATAGACTTGACTATGTACTAGACTATATACATGAGTATAGACTAGACTATAGAATATACTATAGACTAGACTATACACTAGACTATAGACTATAATATAGATCAGACTATAGTCCAGAGTATAGTCTAGACTTTAGACTAGACTATAGTCTAGACTTTACACTAGACTATAGACTAGACTATAGACCAGACTATAAACCAGACTATATACTGGACGATATACTAGAATATAAACTAGACTATATTAGACTATAGACTAGAATATAGACCAGACTATAGACTAGACTAGTCTATAGTTTAGTATAGTCTGCGATATTTTTCGATATCAAAAAGTCCTAAAGTACTTAATTTTCCATGTCTGTCTTAGACTATATACTAAACTATACACAAGACTATACGCTAGACAATAGACTATACTCTAGACTTTAGACTACACTATACAACAGTATATAAACTATAGATAATACTATAGACTAGACTATAGACTAGTCTATAGATTAGACTATAGACTAGTCTATAGATTAGACTATAGCCTAGTCTATAGATTACACTATAGACTAGCCTATAGATTACACTACAGACTAGCTTATAGATTAGACTATAGACTAGACTTTAGAGTAGACTATAGACTAGACTATATACATGACTATTGAATAGACTATAGATTAGATTATAGACAAGACTATAGACTATACTATATACTAGACTATAGACTAGACTTTGATTTTCCAAAAAGAATTCTTTATTAAATCGCTATAATTTTGCATACAATTACATTCTTCAGTATTGTGAAATCTTTTCTATAAAATAGAATAAAAATTCAGCAAGAGGATAATAAAAAATATTAATCATGTCTTCAACTTAAAATAATTTCTTTTGCGGTTGGGATTTGTTCTACAAGACCATAGAGAAGGTGGTAAACAAAAAGGATGATTTGCTTATTGCTCTAGCCCATTTTTTTTTAACCACATATTCCCAATTTATATGTATCGGTATTGGAGATGATGTGATGTTAATTAACAATCTACACCACATAACTTCTGGCTAAAGTCCAGATATCTAAAACATTTTAGGAATATATACTTTTGCTTAAATTTTAATCTTTTCAACTTGCTATACAATTTTTTGATTGATTTTTTTTTTATTTTTAGACTGACACTAAGAAATCTGTCAGAGAAGAATTTTCTCTAAAGTCTTAAGACGTCACAACAGCCGAATCTCTATACGAAAACTCTAAAAAGCTTATTATTATATTAGAAAAATACTAAAGACTCTTTTCTATAATAAGACTGTACCAAGAAAACAATTTTCTATAAGAAAATTTCTCTAAAGAAAAGTATGTATGTTTACTATTCCAAAAAGGCGGCCAAAGAATCCACTTTACTATAACAAAACTTTCCAAAGAATTTACTTTTCTTTAACAAAATTGTCCAAAGAATGTCTAAAAGATATTTCACTATGAAAATTGTCTGAAAATACACTATTCCTTAAGAAAATTATCCAAACAAACTTTTTACCAAAAAAATTCTAAAAAAACACTTTTTCACATGAAATCAACCAAAAATCAATAAAAAAAAACATATTTACAAATATGTTTGGAAAATTATGGTTTATTAAAAAAAATTCGCTTGCATATAAATTCAACAAATTCTATTTGTTCTGCACATACAATGTAGATTTATTTTAAATAACTGTTCACCAAGGGTATGTTCTTTACATATAATAGTCACCACCAAAACCAGGAGGTTGCATATGGTCTGGATTGGGATTTGGCCGAATGCCACGTTCTGGAGGACCAAAAGGATCGAAACGAGGACGAGCACCTGGGCCAATGCCACTATTATCAGGACCTAGACGAAAATCAGGATGTGAGGGAAAGGGAAATAAGTTACCAGGACCACCACGGCCCAAAGGATCTAAATCACCGCGGCCAACAGGAAAGCCGAAGGGAGGTGGCTGGTTGGCAGGTGTATATAGGCTAAAAAAAAATAAAGGTAATGCATAAGAAATGTTATTTAAAAGGAGAAAATTTCTACCCAAAAGGTGGTAGTCTGGGTTCACCAATACGTAAGCTATCAGGACCTTCAGCTGATGTTGATGCAGATGTACTAGCTGTTTGAGTTGTTGCTGATTTACTATTACCGGCAAATACCTAGCAAATAAGTTTGTATAATTTCCCAAAACTAGTTTAGCTATCATAAAAAATCCACTTACCGGTTCCAAAATTTCTTTACGATACCTATCAACAAGTTGTGTAGCAGTTGGTATCATTTTTGTTATACTACCTTTGGTCTCCTTAACCAGATCCTCGGGATCTAAACCAATATTAGAAACTTTACGTGTTTTTACATCCAATAGTGTTATAATTAATGAACCCTCTGTTCTAAGACCCAGAAGGATATACAATTGTTTATTGTTCGTATAGCGTAAAGCATAATTATTTTCGTCATCATTCCAGTTATCGGGCAATAACTCTGAGCCATTTTCTACATCATCTTCAGGTAAAGTTTTCTAGGAAAGTGATATTTTATAACTTAAAGAAAACTCTGGGAAAATAACAAAAAATTGGCCAGCAAGTGGAAATGGTTAAAATTTAAACAATAGCTGGACTTTAGCCAGAAGTAATGTTGTGTAGATGTTAATTAACATTTGTTCTAATTACTCACATCATCTCCAATACCGATACATTTAAATTGGGAATGTTTGGTTAAAACAAAATGGGCCAGTGCAATAAGCAAGTCATCCTTTTTGTTTACTACTTTTTCTATGGTCTTGTAGAGCAAATCCCAACCGTAAAAGAAATCATTTGTAGTTGTAGACATATTTAATATGTTTTATTATCCTGTTGCTGAATTTATTTTATTATCTATTTTATAGAAAAGATTTCACAATATTGAAGTAATTTGTATGCAAAAATTATAGCGATTTATACTGAAATTTTTTTGAAGCCGAACATTTTTGTTTGTTTTGTTTTTAAAAACAGGGTGTTGTCATATGTTTTATTTAATCAGATGTTTAAAATTAACCCTAAAGCGACACAAAACTTATGGAAAATCAGAAAAAAAAACTAAAATTTTCTTAAAATGCTATGATTTATCAACAAAAAATGTAAATATTTAAAAATATCAAATGGAAAATTTTCTTTTAAAATTCATGTTATAGAGTTGTATTTATGACATTTAGGGTTTTTCGACTTTTTGACTTTTTCCGACTTTTTTTCGACTATTTTTTGACTTTTTTCGAGTTTTTCCGACTATTTTAGAGTTTTTGACTTTTTTCCACTTTTTTAAAATTTCTGACTATTTTTGACTTTTTTCTACAATTTTCGAGTTTTCAACTTTTTACGACTTTTCGACTTTTTTCGACTTATCGACTTTTTTAGATTTCCGACTTTCAGACTTTTCGACTTTTATTAACAAAGTCGACTTTTTCCACAGACGATAGTCGAGTTATCGACTTTTTTGGAACAAAATAGTCGACTTCGACTTTTCAATTTTTTTCGACAAAAAGTCGATTGTTCGATTATTCGAAAGTCGATTTATAGAACCCTAATGACATTTAAGTTTGAGCAAAACATGTGGCAATATTATCTTTATTTGTTTACGAAAAATAGTGTAAAGAAGTTAGAACGGTTATGCCGGATCTTATACAAGTTTCTATGCGTAGTTTTTCATTAACACGTCTAAATTTTATCCCGATATAACTGAATGATTTTCGGAAGTGGACTTTATATGGGCGCTATGGTCAATTATGGACCAATAGGGAAAAACTTCGCAAAATGCATAAGTTATTTCTTTTTTTTTTCGGAAGTGGACTATGATCAATAATGGGCCGATTCGGAATAATTTTTCGAATTATTTTCTACAGAACATATTCATTTTGAATTTTGTTCCCATATGGTTATTTTGTAATGAGTTATGTTCGTTTAATTGGTTTTCGAAAATGGACTTAATTTGAGAGCTATGGTAAATTATGGACCGATCAAGGTTTTAGTTGGTATTAGTACAAGAATTACGTTATATTTCAAAGGTTTTTTTAGAATTTACCTCATATTTTTGCTGATTTTAAATAGGGAACTCGACGATATCTGGGGTCCTCTGAAAACTGACAACAAAAGAATACTGACCAAGAGACGCAAGGAAATGGCTACATGTAAAAGGACCGGAATATATATACTTTGTAGGTGCGGAATATCATATTGTAGAAATTTTAAACGGAATGATAACCTCGGAACGAAGTTAAAAGTTATAATAATGCAACTCTCTTGTATAATGTATGCTTGGTAATCGAATACAATATACAAGTAAGTACCTGATAGTCATAAAAGCATCAATATATAACAATATATAACAAAAATCCAAAAACTGCTAATAGCGGCAAATTTATTTAAAAATATATTACCGATATCTTAGATATGTATGAAATCTGCTTTAAATTTTCTAATATGCAGGAAATTACTTTTATTATACTCAATTTGTATTTATTTAATTATATCTTAATTATGCCTATAGGCTTAGAAGATTTTAACACAACGCAGAAATTAACTCAGATTTAACAATAAGTATCTTAATAGCTCTATGTATTATTTCAGAAATCGAATTTTTCATATTTAAGAAAAGCTATAGGACATTAATCTTTTCTAATTACTTAACAGGTGTTAAATAATCTTTCACTTACCCATAACTTCGGATCTCAGAACTTTTTTTAGAATTTTGTTTATCTTTTTCGAGTTTCAAATTGTTAAAAAAAAGCGGTTCCACTTTGCACCATATTCCGAAATGCTATATCAATGATATTACAGTCAAAATGGCGACCACATGTTTGACAGCAAAACTGACATTTCAACACTTGCCTACTCTTTTCCTCCAGCAACGAAACAAACTACTCTTTTTTTCTCATACGAATCAAAGCAAAACCAAACAACACGACGAGAACCGAACAAAGCCGCCATATTGGCGATTGGCTGTAGAAAATGTATTTTTGCATAGAAGACACACACACAATATTTTTTCACACAGAGTTACAGGGACAGAAAAGAAATTTGTGGAAAAATAAAATTTTATTTAAATTTATAATCTAATCTTTATTAATAAACTTTAACTGAAATTATGTGAAAAATGTCAAAAATGCAAGTAAACAGTGTTGTGTATTAAAAGAACAAAAAGAAAAAGCAAGAAAACGGGATTTTTTCTACGTTTGACAAGTAAAATAAATTACAACAAAAAAACTAATAGACAAATATTTTTTGTAAAAAGAAGTGTGTGTGTGTATATAGAGAAATTATAAAAATATAAAATTTTTATAAAGAAAGTATAAGTTATTATTTATAAAACTTATATAAAAAGAAGTACTTAGTACATACCACTATGGAGTCCACAGGAGGCAGCTCCGGCTCTGCAATGACGGCGGCGGCTGCCATGCCATCACCGTCAGTTGTGGCTGATGGTAGCAAAGGTAAGTTTGTGTGTGAGTTTAGTGTTTGTTTCGTTTACTTTTTTTGTATCATGTGTATGATTTTGTTTAAAGCCCGCCAATTTATTAGGCTTTTTTTAATTAATACATTTTTTAATTGGATTTTTATTAATTAAAAAAAATCACTATTAATTTTATTTTCACTTAGAACTTTCTTGTTGCCATTTTGTTAATGCAGATTTTTCTCGTTTTGTTTTTGTTATAATAATTTCACGGCGAATTAGTTAGTAATTTATAGCACCAAAAAACTAGGCAAAGTTTAGTTGTTGTATAAGGTGGATTTTCGTTATTTGTTATGGGTGGTTGAACTGACTAAAAGCTTTTTATTTTATCAGTTGCAATCATGTAGCTTTGTAAAGCTTTTATTTTGTTTAAATAAAGCTTTAAAGTTATTTGTTTGGGATGATAAATAAAGAGCTTTAAAGCTTTTAGAATATGTGGATATATTAGGATAAGCTGGGAAAATTTAAATTTTATATGTACACAGTTGTAACATTTTCATTTTTATTTCTTTATTCCAATAACCTATCCTATATAGGCCATAATCGGTTATAAATTTCTACTTATGGCAACTTTTTCCAAAAATAAAACTTTTTGGAGATTATTAATACTTTTATAGATAGATACATAGATAGACAGATAGATAGATAGATAGATAGATAGATAGATAGATAGAGATAGATAGATAGATATAGATAGATAGATAGATAGATAGATAGATAGATAGATAGATAGATAGATAGATAGATAGATAGATAGATAGATAGATAGATAGATAGATAGATAGATAGAGATAGATAGATAGATAGATAGATAGATAGATAGATAGATAGATAGTAGATAGATAGATAGATAGATAGATAGATAGATTAGATAGTAGATAGATAGATAGGATAGATAGATAGATAGATAGATAGATAGATAGATAGATAGATAGATAGATAGATAGATAGATAGATAGATAGATAGATAGATAGATAGATAGATAGATAGATAGATAGATAGATAGATAGATAGATAGATAGATAGATAGATAGATAGATAGATAGATAGATAGATAGATAGATAGATAGATAGATAGATAGATAGATAGATAGATAGATAGATAGATAGATAGATAGATAGATAGATAGATAGATAGATAGATAGATAGATAGATAGATAGATAGATAGATAGATAGATAGATAGATAGATAGATAGATAGATAGATAGATAGATAGATAGATAGATAGATAGATAGATAGATAGATAGATAGATAGATAGATAGATAGATAGATAGATAGATAGATAGATAGATAGATAGATAGATAGATAGATAGATAGATAGATAGATAGATAGATAGATAGATAGATAGATAGATAGATAGATAGATAGATAGATAGATAGATAGATAGATAGATAGATAGATAGATAGATAGATAGATAGATAGATAGATAATAGATAGATAGATAGATAGATAGATAGATAGATAGATAGATAGATAGATAGATAGATAGATAGATAGATAGATAGATAGATAGATAGATAGATAGATAGATAGATAGATAGATAGATAAATAGATAGATAGATAAATAGATAGATAGATAGATAGATAGATAGATAGATAGATAGATAGATAGATAGATAGATAGATAGATAGATAGATAGATAGATAGATAGATAGATAGATAGATAGATAGATAGATAGATGGATAGATAGATAGATAGATAGATAGATAGATAGACAGACAGACAGACAGACAGACAGACAGACAGACAGATAGATAGATAGATAGATAGATAGATAGATAGATAGATAGATAGATAGATAGATAGATAGATAGACAGACAGACAGACAGACAGACAGACAGACAGACAGACAGACAGATAGATAGATAGATAGATAGATAGATAGATAGATAGATAGATAGATAGATAGATAGATAGACAGACAGACAGACAGACAGACAGACAGACAGACAGACAGATAGATAGATAGATAGATATTAAACCTGAAAGTCAATAGTTTTGCCAAATACCATGTTAAAATGCTTACAGCATAGTTCTGAGGAATCTTATGTAGACTTTCAAGTTTAAGCTTTTTCTAAAGTAGCAGCTAAATATGTATGTAGATTTTCTTGTAAAAGGAAAAACTTCTGATAGAAGGAATCTGAATTGAGGTCACAATCTTTTGCCGATTAGAAATTCGATGGTAGTTTAAATAATTCTAAGGCAAATCGGAATTTCTTCAGAACGAGTACTTCAGTATTGTTTTTTATAATCACACAATATGTGTCATTGTAACACAAACATTAGAAAAATATGATCTAAATTTTAGCTTTAAATCAGTTGAAAAGGATATAAATAAAATAAAAATAAATCTTTTTATTTTTATTATTTAATTTATCCTTGAAATATTGAGGTCTCTTCTTACTTTCATATTACAATGGGCTTTTAACAAACATCGCATGTTATTTCATTATAAATTATTTCCATTTTTCGGCCATTAATTTGTATATAAACAATTATATGTATAATTTTTCCTTTTTATTTTTCAAAATTCCAAAATTAACTAATTTTTCTCTTTCCCTCCCTCAAAAAAACATAAAGTTTTTTGTTCTTCTCTATTTAAAGCAACGAACTATGAATTTGATCCCAGTATTTCGGAAGAAGAGAGACGCTTTTATCTGAAAGCCTATCCAACAGTCGATGTGGTACGTGAACGTAAGACACATTGTACAGTATGTAAAGTACATATTGGTACAGCACCGGTACAGGAAAATGGCATTAAAATGCATCCTATCTTACGTGTGACACACTGCAATAAATGTCATGATTTTTACAATAGCGGTGAATTTAGTAAGGGTGAAGATGGTTCGGAATTGTATTGTCGTTGGTGTGGACAAGGTGGTGAAGTGTATTGCTGTTCCAGTTGCCCGTATGTCTTTTGTAAATCTTGCATTGTTAAGAATTTATCAAGGGGTGTAGTGGCTGATATTGAACAGAATGAAAATTGGAATTGTTTTAGTTGTGCCCCGAAAATATTATGGCCATTGAGGGCTCAACATTGGGCTCTTATGAATTATATTGAACAGCAGAAAAAGTGAGTAAAAGCTGTAATACAGCAATATGTAAACTATACCTAGTAACTAAATCTTGGTGTGGTCATTTCATAACTAAATTTTTGTAAACCTTCAAATATTTTTTATATTTTATTAACGATAGCATTATTATTCCTTTTCCAGAGAAATCTATGCTCTTCATTTAAGTGAATCTGAATTAAAATTAAATCTGAGTAAAGATCGCAGCAGGTGTTGTCGTTTGGCAAAGTCAAAGTGTGGCAACATGTCAGATTCTATGGAAAGTTTAGACTCGGTGGCTTCGAAACGCAGTCACGGCAGTGGCCAATCTGCCAAGAAACCCATGAAACATTCAGCTACACCTTCGCCACAACAAATGAATGCGGCCAAACGTGCAAAAACCAACGATGAAGTAGTCTGTACACCCGACTTGCTCAGCATGCTGGAGCCAGATTGTCAAATAACCGTCTCACAGAAACCGAACAGACCTATGAATACACCTTCGGCCACTACACCGAAAATCATGTCCATTCAGCAGCCACAAGGCGGTTATGGTGCAATGTCTTCAACACCCAAAACTTCAGCACCACCGCCACTAGTATTACGCAACACCGCTATAAAATTAAGGCCTGCTGCCCCTCCACCAGTTGTTAGACGCACCATAATAGGACCACGTACTCCCACGCCAGGAGGCAATGGCACTCCTGTCTATCACACCATCAATGGTTATCGTATTGATTTGAATTCTGCTGCCCAGCAAGAGACTTTCCGTTTACCAAATGGTAAACTTATACAAGTTAAACGACAAGGTCCTCCTACACCCCAAAATGCTTCCCCAACAGCAAACAATTGGCAGCGCATGAGCAGCCCTCAGCCACAAAGGGTCATACCACAAACTATAGCTTCACGACCAGTGCAAATTACACAACATCCCTACAACATCAGTGTACAACAACAGCCTGGACAACATCCTCAAGTGGTGCGTTATCACAACAGTATGATTGGTTCCACCTCGATTAATCAGGTCAATCATAATGGCACTACTATACAAGTTGTAAATGGTCAAATGTCCGCTGGACCCCAACAGGCACAACAACAACAGCCACCACCGATTCCGAGTGGTCCCGTACGTCCCGTTATGGTACGACATGTCTTTCCCGACAATCCCATCGGTCAGGCACGTGCTGGCTTGCAAGATCAAGTCTTTAATGCTATGGAAATTTGCACTCATCTCACAAACAAGGTTCAAACTCTTACCAATTCAAATGCTTACAAACAAGCACGCAACTTTTTGGAAGTTAAAGAACTCTACATACATCTTTCGTATTTGTTGACATATGCCATTGGACGTTTCAAGAGTTTGCAGGACAAATGTTTGGGTGATATGCGCACGCTTGGTTTCGGCAATGATGCCGATTGTTTGGAAAATGGCCAATTGGCAGCTGGTAAGTTGAAATGTTTATTATATACTTAGCAGTAATTGAAGTTATGCATGCAATTGTTTAAAGAAAAAGAAATGAAAGTTTGAGTACATACTTATTTACATTTGTTCATAAATGAGGCAGTGATCTAGAATGTTTTGCAGCAAAAAATAAAATTAAAAAAATAATTCGTCTATAGCTCGATTATTAACTCTATAGTTTTTACAGTCTTAGTAATAATATAAAGTATAGTCTACACTATAGTCCAGTTAATAATAATCTGGACTACAGACTGGGTTATAGTTCGGTCTATAGTCTGGACTATAGTTTGATCTATAGTTTGGAATATAGTTTGATCTATAGTTTGGACTATAGTTTGATCTATAGTCTGCATTATAGTTTGATCTATAGTTTGGACAATAGTTTGATCTGTAGTTTATTCGATAGTCTGGTCTATAGTTTGATCTATAATCTGGACTATAGTTTGATCTATAGTCTGAACTATAGTTTGGTCTATAGCCTGGACTATAGTTTGATATATAATCTGGACAATAGTTCGTTCTATAGTCTGGACAAAAGGTTGATCAATAGTCTGTAGGTCAATCTATAGTTTGGATTATAGTTTGATCTATAATCTGAATTAGAGTACGATCTATAGTCTGGATTATAGTTTGATCTATAGTCTGGGATATAGTTTTGATCTATAGTCTGGACTATAGTTTTGATCTATAGCCTGGACTATAGTTTGATCTATAGTCTCGACTATAGTTTGGACTATTGTCTGGACTATAGTTTGGTCTATTATCTGGACTATAGTTTGGTTTATAGTCAGGACTATAGTTTAGTCTATAGTTTGAACTATAGTTTGGTCTGTAGCCTGGCTTGTAGTTGGGAATATTGTTGGGATTATAGTTTGGTCTATAGTCTGGACTATAGTTTTGATCTATAGCCTGGACTATAGTTTTATCTATAGTCTGGACTATTGTCTGGACTATAGTTTATTCTAGATTTTTCGATAAATATTAAAATTTACGGAAAAAATTCAATTAGAAATAAAATTTTTTGCTGGAAATTATGATTTTTGATAAAAAATTATTTTGTTTTTATCAAAATTTTGGATTTTCTATGAAGAATCGATTTTTTAGTTTTCGGTTTTTTATAAAAAAAAATCAATTCTTTGATAAAAATTCTGTAAAATTCGGTTATGTTAATGAAGAAAAAAAATTTAATTAAAAAAATTTTACTTTTGGATAAAAATTTACTTTTTTGATGAAAATTAACTTTTTCGGTGAAAATTTACTTTTTCTTTAGAAATTCACTTTTTCGATGAAAATTCACTTTTGCAATGAAGATTCAAATATTCGACATAAAATTGAAATTTTGATGAAAATTTACTTTTTCAGTGAAAATTTAATTTTCAATAAAATTTTAATTTTTCAATGTAAATTTAATTTTTTTTTTTTTTTTTTTTTTTCAATGAAAATTTCATTTTTTATGAGAAATGGGGGTTTTGGATGAAAAGTAATCCTATTTGAAAAAAATACAATGAAAAGTTGATTTCAGGAAATTCTCCGGGAAATTTCCCTGAAATTATGAAACAAATATTGTTGCGAGAATTCCGAGAAATATTTCCCCCATAGAAACCTCTAGTATAAATATAGCAAAAAAAAGTACTACTTTTAATTTATAATATTAGAAACCATTAAAAATACTGATTAATATAATCTTTGCGACTTAAACATACAACACATTTTTGAAATCAAGTTTATATTTAAATACATTTTAACATTTGCTAAAGTAGTTAGTAGAGTAATTATAATTTTATTATATAAAATCATTGTCTTAAGCCATTTTTCCAACACATGGACTTAAAATAAGTGCTTTTCAAAATAAACATACAAAAAGTGTTGTGCAAAATAAAAATGAAATATTTTATAAAACAAAAATTATACCGGAATGTAAGTACCCTAGAAATTAAAAGAAAAAGTATAAAACTATGAGTTTGTATTTCATTGACTTCCGGCTTAAGCATTAACAAAAAAAGGGGAAGGCAACATGGACTTTTTTTTAAAAAAAATAATGAAATAAATAGCTAAAATGAAAAGTTTATAAGCATAAAAAATAACTTAACATACAAACCCTTAATTTGGGTCCATGTGTTTTCTTAAATTTCTTTTTAAAATATAGATGAAAAGAAGTAACAAAAAATGACTGAAGGCAATGAAATTGAACTCATAATTTTATTATTTTTCTTTTTACTAAGTAAATGTTTTTCTCTTCTAAACTCTTCTATTTAAAGCCGTCGATTATGTTTGTTACGGTCAATTGGATGATGTGGATTTGTTTAATACCGGCACCAATAGTTTCCACAATCAAGTGTATGAGTACCGTAAAAGTTTACATGCCAATTTGAAAGAGGGAGAAGATGGCGCCAAATCTCCTCTACCGCCCATATTCAGTTTGGGTCAAGGTAAAACTGAGGAGGCGGAAGAAGATATGGAGGGAGAAGATAGTTTATTGGAAGAACCCAAGGGTTTCAAAGGTCATTGGTTAGAGGGTGGTGATGATTCTAATCTACCATCCAGTTATAATCAAGAAAACGAAGAAAATGAAGAACCAGATGAAAGCTACATGGACAATGATGAGGATGAAGTTTATAATCGTAGTACAGCCAGAGGAGGCGGAGGTGGAGGAGCTTATGGCGATAGTTTAATGCAAGGCACTGAAGAATCCATGCGTAAAAATGAAGAAAGTTATGTTTATGATCGCAAACTGACACGTCTGGTATCACAATATCCCTCGATTTGGTGTACCCGTCATCCAGACTATGGCAATTTTGAGGTAACACGCAAACAATGGCGTACCATAGCCTCGCATTTCGATGGTAATGAACATATAAAATTGCGCTGGAAAAACATACGCAAACGTTTTGTACGCATCGAAAAACGTATAGCCGAAGGTAAACGTTTTAATGGTCATTTCGATAAAGCTATGGCATTTTTGGCCAATCGAGATTTACCCGAAGATCAATGGGTCCCAGTGGATTGTGGTGAAGATGATGGTGATACCTATAGTCGTCGTAATTTAGATGCTATTGAACAATCCCTGCATATACAGGGTAAAGATGAGTTAGTGGAACGAAACCGAGAAGAGGAAAAGGATAGGGTAGATCCTTTTCAATTTCAACCGGCTGTTAAGCCTATTGAAGTGGAACCTTTAGATTTGAGAATTATAACATTTGTTAAAAGTAATCCGGTAATATGGCGCAAATCTATGGATCCCGAAGCAGATAAAATTGATGAAGAAACGCGGCGAACTGTATGGAAACAATTGCAAAGATGTGTGCCACGTATGTTAAGAGATTTTGGAAAACTTTTTAAAACTTTTGATTAAATATTTATTTAAAATTTTAGATATTCCCGGAGATTACATTAAAGATCGCTGGCAACATTTATATGAAATGTACAAAACATTCCGTTTGAAAACCATTAAATCTGAAGAAGATCGTTCCAATTTGGAATTAAAATATTCCAAATATTTGGCTAAACTTTATTTCCTTTATAAAATCGATGAAGAAGAATTAAGAAATGAAAATAATGGCCTATTTGAAGACTGTTTCGAGTTGGAAGATGATGAAGAGGAAGAAGCGGAACGTGGTGGGGAAGAGGAACCAGCAGATTCTGATGAAGAAAACCCGAAAAAAGAAAATCCCATAAAACTACAAGATATGCCGGATGATAAGGAATTTTTATTGGAATTAGTAAAACTGGTGAGAGAATATCCCGCTATTTGGAATACCAAACATAATGATTACAATGACATCATGGTGCGCGATAGTTATTGGCAAGAAATTAATGAAAAACTACAGGAATTTAAACGTAAATTAAAACTGTTAACATAGGTTTGTTTAAAGGCTTTTAATTTTGTTATAATTTTGTTTATTGCAGGTGATGTTAAATCGATTAAATTACGCTGGCAATTGGCCAAGTATAGTTATTATCGTTTAAAACGTGAGCATGGTCAAATTGTGGAAAACACCAAAATGGAACAGTATTGCAAAAATTTACCAACAGATGAAATGAAATTTTTGGATTAAATTTAAGATAACAACCCTATAATAATATTTAAATTATGGAAAACTTTCAACCTACACACATACATATATAGATTATAAGGAATTGTATTTTTAATTTAGTTTTTATTTTGAATTATATACGTATACTCTATCTCTCTCTACTCTTAATCCTAAAACAACACCCCATTCATCTTAAAAACGTTTGAACTGCATATTTCATTTATTACAATTATAAACATATTAATTATAAATTTAAAAAAATGGAAAATAAATTAATAATTATACATATTATGGGAAAACAAAGAAATGTTTTTCATTTATAATTTTCAAGGAAAAAATACACGCAAATTATATTTTAAAACTTTTATTTTCTTTCTTTTTTCATAGATAAACAAGCCAGTGATGATGAAGATAATGAAATTGAAATTGTGGAACCTAAAACTGATTTGATCACTTTGGATTCAGACGATGATGAACCCTCTGCAACTTCGCCCGCTAAAAACCAGCAAACCAATGCCCAAAATAAAACACAACAGCAATCTTTCTCTAGTACACAGCACAGTGTTGATGTCAAAGTTAAACCTGCAACTATAGCGCCAGCAAATAGACAAGTTGTCATTAAACCTGCGGCTCCTGCAGCTGCGGCACCACCAGCTGAGGAAAATATGGATCTAATGTCAATGGCTCAGAGTTTTTTGGCAAGTATGTTGGAGGTAGACATACAAGAGGGACCAGTTAACTCACCCGGTTCAGATTCCTCCGGTCAAAAGAAACAGCCGCGTAAAAAATTAACCAATAAACCGAATCCCACTTTACTAAAGCAAAAAGCTTTAATGGAACTAGAACGTTTGGAGGAAATGAAGCGTAATGATCAAAAACTAAAAATGAAATGTGCGGTAGAATTGAAAAAGGCCGAAGAAGTGTTTCCCTTTGCCAAGGAAATGTTAGAGGCTAAGGCTAAAGAGAAACAAGAATATGAAGAAGCTAAGAAAAATAAACTCGAGCAAAAGGAAGTCATAGAATTGGAAGATGAAAAGGATAAATCAAATGAAAAGTTAGAAGACTCCTTGAATAGTTACACAGAAGAGATAAAGGAAAATAAAGACAAAGATTCCTGCTCAGCAACAATAGAAGAGAAAGAAGCTGCAGACGAAACTTCTATAGAAATTATAGAAATAAATAATTCAGCAGCAGAAGAAAAAGATAATGAAAGGGATACTTCTAAGGATATAACGGATAAAGAAGTATCAATAGAAGTTATAGAAGATATTGAAGACACTACAACGGAAAATATAGAAGAGAAAGAAAACTCAGAGGAAACTAAAGAAAAAGAATCATCAATAGAGATTATAGATAAAACAGAAGATATTAAAGAAAAAGAGAAAGAGGATAAGCAAAAGAAAGAGGCAGAGGAAGTTAAAGAAGAGGATGAAAAACTAAATGATAATGATAAAACGGAAACAGAAGCAATTTCCGAAACAACTGAAAAGGAACAGGATAAAGATAAAGAACAAACAAATGCTTTAGCAGATAAAGACAAATTAGCCGAAGTTATGGAAATTGAGGAAAAATCACCAGCAACACCAACAAAAGATGAACCCATGGATATAGATGAAAGTAATGAAGAATCTATACATAAAGAACCTACCGTACCAGAGGACAAAGAAAGTAAATCTATTGAAATTATGCAAAAAGAACAAGAAAAAGAAATGGACAAGATACCTACAGCAGCAACAGAAAATAATGACAAAAATGAAGACAAACAACTGGAAAAGGTGCTAACACAAATAGAGGAAATAGAAAAAAATGAAATGGAATTAACAAAACCCACAAATGTAACATTATTAAGCGACAAACAAGAGCTCGATAACACAACAACAGCAACAAACATAGAAAAGGTAAAAGAAAAAGAAAAAGAGAAGACATTAAATGAAAAAGCTAGTGAAGAAGCAACAAATAAAACACTTCCCTCCTCTACAACAGCAGAACTTCCCCATAAGGAAACAGAAACTAATAAAACAACTGCAATAGGAAACGAAACAACAGCAACATCTAGCAATGGCAATGTTTAGTAGAGTTTTTTTTTTAATTTAAATTAAACAAACAAAAAAGAAATTCAACAAATTAGATTTATAACTAACTAAAACGTACATAGTTTTTAATATTTAAAAAATATATACTTGAATTAAAATATCATCAAAATACAACACTACTTACTCGAAAACATACATTAAATGTATACATTTTACTATTATTATTTTTTATAAATTATAAGATCAATAATATCTAACATTAACATACAAAAACGTTAAATGTTCTTCTATATATAAATAATATAAAAATCATAATTTTCATGACTTTGTAGTCGTAAGTGCTTTAAATTTTTCCAAAATCAATTTATAATAATGACCATTATTATTATTATTTAGTTTCCTAAACTTGGCAGTTATTTTGTCAATAGCTCTTTATTTTTTTTTTCGTATTAATTGCATCAATATATGATAAGTTTCTTTAATATTGAGTTTATTAAATTGTATTTTTTTTATTGTAAATATTTTCTTCATTTAATTTTGATTATGAAATTTTTAGCTATTTCTAGCTATTGAAATACACATTTTTAATTCATATTATAACTGAGAATATAAATAAAAAAAAAAAATAAATTAATTTTAATATTTGAAAAAAAGTAAAACGAACGAAATTTTCTTTGGTTTATTGTTAGGTTAGGTTGATAGGAGGATGTATACTACATCAAATCCGAAGAAATACACCTAGGCCACTATCGGGCCTGTTGTGCGCTCCATTTGGTTTATTGTTAACAGACATCTATGGATTAATTTGAATCATATGCAATTTTCTAAGATGTTCATTTACTATACCTCAGAGTCTAAGCCTCTAAATCTCCTGAAAGTACATGAGATGACTTGCGTTAGAAACCAAACTTAGGACCTAAATAAAGCTAAACTTAGACAACGATTGAAGGAAAGTTTAGATTTCAAAATTATATACAATTGAAGGCAAACTTAAACCACTTTTGAAGTCAAACATGGAACATAATTTAAGGCAAACAAAGATAACACATACTTAAGATTTGAATCAAGCTAAACTTAGACTAGGATTGAAGGAAAACTTAGGCATCAAACATATTTACAAAAGAAGCCAAACATAGCCAAGGTTTGAAGACATAGACGATAACTGTAGCCAAATAAAGACAACATAAAGTCCGTTTAAAGCCAAACCTAGACTAAATATGAGGCTAAGCTTAGTTTTCTGTATGATCTGCGTTTAAAGCCATACTAAGGATCCGAATAAAGCTAAACTTAGACAACGATTGAAGGAAATCTTAGGCATTACATAATATTTACAATTGAAGCCAAACTATTGCTAGAAGATCTCCTTTTAAAGCCATTCTTGAGATCCGAATAAAGCTAAGCTTAGACGTGGATTGAAGGAAGGCTTAGGCATCAAACATATTTACAATTGAAGCCAAAATTAGAAGTCGGACAAAACCCATAAGAAGAAGATAATATAAAGTCCGCTTAAAACCAAACATAGACAAAGTATGAAGCTAAACTTTGAATGCTAAATGAATTAAACCAAACAAACTACCTTTGCAAACTAAAGTTCAACTTAGACTTGGATTAAATTGCAAAAAATTACTAAAATCTCCTAAAGTTTCTAAGTTTCGATTTATTTTTAATTTTTCTTGGCTATTCTAATTGAATAATCTTCATCGAATGGAAAATCTTACAAAATCAAAAAGGCAATAACATTAAATCAATATAAAATCATATTTTTTTATTAAATCTACTTTAAGTTATTACAAGTTCCTGCTTAAATAAAAGAAAAAACACTATAAATGGCAGTTTTCCAAATAAAGCAAATAAATAAACAAAATTTTCGTTTATTAAAAACAAATTGTTGACCAAAATTATGCACTCTTTCATTTGCGCATACCCACATATTTCGTCCAAATGCCTTTAGAATCAAAATAAGGTTTATTACGAGAACAAACAATAGAATCTTTAAAAATGCAGCAGTACTCCTCGGGTATGGCAGTGTTTTTATACAAATTATAAAGGAACTCATAGATCTAAAAAGGAAAAAATAACAATTCAGTAATAAAAGTAGTAATCAAATTGACAACAACATACCTTTGCCTCTTGATCTTTCCAAAAGACATGATCACATAGAAATTGTAAACTTTCGGGAAATATTTGATTTCTTTCGGAACGTTGTGTGGCCACAGCATCCAAATTTCCCAATAATATCGCACAACCCGATAAAACATCCACCGATAATATGAATATATCCAATAGATATAAAACTTTATCTAATTTTTCCTTATTCGAAGATTCCGCCAATAAAGCCTGTATTTGTATAAACATTTCCATAATCCAATTACAAGATTGTTCATCATTATTGAAAGCATACAAGGTGGAAGATAAGTGTCTAAAGAAAAATAAATGCTCCTCTTTACGTGTGGCATAGGCGTCTATAATGGGATTGAACCATTTCAAAGGATTGCTCAGTTGGGTATTGTACAAAACCAAGTAGGATCTGATAATGGTGGCTTTTTTTAGTTTTCCTATAGGTGTTTCCCACCAATTAGCCGGTGTTGTTAAACCTTCTATAGCATTTTGTGGTAAAACTGCTACAACTTCTGTATAACGCTCGAAAAGCCTCGAATCAACATCCATAGAATCCATATAACGTTCTACAATCAAAGTAAAAATATCCAGCACTTCTGGCACTTCACATTTACCCGTAAATATGTACTTGACACTGTCCATGAATTTCTCGAACAAGCAACCCTCATTGAAACCAGCCAATTGGGATTCTTTGAAACAATATACCGCCACTTTTTCAGCAAACGTTTTCATTATGGTCAAGCTAACACCATTCGATATTTCCGGTAGCAAGGAGAACAGCAAGAGTAAATCTTCTTCGAAACAATTTGGCTCGAATTCCGCCAGGAAATTCTCCAATAAACGTCTTGCCGTACCGGAATGTAGCAATTGATTTTTGGCTATTAATATGCAGTACTTTCTGGTGTCGAAAGATAAATGGAAGAAACTATGAAGGAAACTCCAATCTAAAGGTGGTATAGGTTTGGGGAATTTCTTGGAGATGGCTCGCAAGGCATTTGTTACAGCTATTGGCTCGGCCACATGATCACCATAGCGGGATTGATTCACTAGATAGCTTATCACAGCCCTTAGCGGACTCTGCGGATAAAGGCCTTGCAGTTTGCGGGGTTCAGGTCTGCCCTCGGGTAAACGATATAGACCTCCACGAAAACCATTAATTTCAGCATAAATATAGTGTGATATTAAATCCGCAGCTGCTGAACCACATTCAGGTCTTATTTTCTGCAATAATTGAACCCATACTTCGCCAGGTATCATTTCCTGTTGCAAATCCACTACCTCCCGACCATCTGGTCCAGTGTATTCCCGGGCCACATGTAAATCTTGTCTAAATTGTGGTGGTATATGTTTCAAAGTCAATAATGTACCAATTTCATAATGTTTAAGGGCGGACAATGCTTCACGTATCATTTCCGGATCCATATCCGAACGACTTATAGTCGTCCATAGTTGATCTAAAGCTTCATCTACTAACTGCTCAAACTCGAGAGTGGGTGTTTGTAGCAGGGGAACATGAGCAAAGAAGCGATATAAGGATTTTAAGGCTCGTGGACGTTTTTCATGACGAAATTTATTACTCAATACACGCCAAGTGGATGTGATGTTAACTGTATGACTATCGCAGAGAGCTACAATTGCGTCCAGAGCTAATGATGTTGCCAAATCGCCAGATTCATCGGTACACGTGTTAAGGGTATCGGAAAGATGTGATACGAGATCGGATCCATGTTGTGTAGGTCTGCAATATAAGGGGTTTTCAATAAACTTAAACTTAACCTTTTTTTAACTGGTTGTGGCTTATTTTGGAAGTGCATATTTTAAAACTTAATTAAATACTTACATTTTTCACAAACACTTTTGTTTAAAGCTTGGATTGTCATATTCTTAAGATGGAAGTCAAACATAGTTTATAATAGAAGAAAAACTAAGACAACTGATAGATAATCTGCACCTGAAGCCCATCTTAGGACCTGAATAAAGCTAAACTTAGACTCCGATTGAAGGAAAGTTTTTGTTCCAAATAAATACAATAGAAACTAAACCTAGACCTATATTTGAACTGAAAGAATAAAATTGAAATCAAACAAAGTAAGTTTAAAGTCCAAAAGTATGAAGCTTTACATAGATTCCTAGAAGATCTCCGTTTGCAGCCAAATTTAGGACCTGAATAAAGCTAAATTTAGAAACCTATCGCTTAGTCTTCAAAAAGATTTACAATTGAAGCCAAGCTTAGTCTACGTTTGAAGTCTTAGTTTAAGGCTTAACTTAGATTGGTAGATGACGTATGTTTGAAGCCAAACTTAGGACCTGAATGAATCTAAACTTAGACTAAGATTGAAGAAAAGCTTAGGCTTCAAAAAGATTTACAATTTGAAGCCAAACTTAGACTACGTTTGAAGACAAACATAAACAACAATTGAAACCAAAAAAAAAGTACATAATAAAGTCGGTCTAAAGCCAAACTCAAACTAAGTATGAGACTAAATTAAGATTGCTAGATGCTTGGCGTTTGAAGCCAAACTTAGGAAATTAATAAAGCTAAACTTAACGGAAAGCTTAGGCAACGTTTGAATTCAAACAAAAAATCATAAGGGAATCATCAAAATTGAATAAAAATGTACTTACTTTTCATAGCATATTTCACGTATGGTATAAGTTTTAGCAATTTCATATTCCCATTTCTTGGCAGTGCCTTCTTTAAAGGGCAGCGATAATAATTTGATAAGGAAAGGATATGTGCGAGATTCAACGCGCCACAAACGTAAATATAAATCCATGCAAAATGTTGTATTATCAGCACATAAATTACGTATAGTATTCAAAATCATAGGTATGTTATCCTAATAAATAAAACAGTTATTAAAGAGAATGAATTTATAAGCACAACAATAACAACACTTACCTTTGATACCCCAAAGTTCGGTAGACCTCTTAACAATTCCATTTGCAATTCAGGATTATGCTCACCAGCTAATTTGAAAATATATGTCATTAGAAAATCATAAGCAATATTATTATTAACTTTAATAATATCCAATATCACTTCATAGATTTTAAACCAACAATCAACCGAAGGTTCTCGTGAGAGAAATAATGCTCTTAGGAATAAGTTTAAACGTTGGCAAAACATGGTATTAGCCTTAACATTTAATATATCGACAAATGTAAAAACATCCTTTACTTCAGAATCATCAAACGATTCCACCAATTTGGCTAAATCAAAAGCCAATGCTATATCAGGATGTAAATTACGCAAACCAACTGGTTCGAAATCTTTGGTATGAGTGGCATTAGTTTTCAAAGTACCCTTAACCACTTCCAATATTTTACGTACAATTTGATGGGCTATGGCCAGACCATCTGCAGGTATAAATGCAGTCTGAGACATCCACTGGATGATACCATCAAGACACATGTTCAGAATGTATTGATGCCCACAGTT